ACTTCACAGCAGTGAAGACCTTGCTCTTTTTTACAGCTCCATAGCTCTCCACTATGTGGATGTACCAGCTGATTTTACCAGCTCCTACCGGACATTTGAGTTATTGCTAATACTTTGCTTTTGAAAATATTACAACAAAAACTTAGTGAATATGTGGTTTTCATATTTGTGGGGTATATCTTCAGAATAAATTCCTCGAGATAGGGTTTCTGGATTAAATGTATCTGCAACGTTGTGAGATTGTGCTGATCTCCCCTTCACGGGATCAAACCATTTTGCATTTCTACCAGCAATATATGAATATAATTGTTTCTTCACAGTCTCACCAAAGAATGTGGCATCACTGGATTTTCTCTCAAAAGGAAAGAAGCTACAGTATAGTTTTTTATTTTGCATTTCTCCTATGCATGAAGACGTGGTTAAGGGTCATCTGCATTTCTTTTTCTGTGACTTGCCCTTCATATCTTTGTTATAAGTTAGTCTATGGTTTAGGCCTGTATGGTTTTCTGGTCAGTCCACTCTTGGCTCTCACCTCAACTACTGCCCAGCCTTCTACCTGGTCTCCCCGCTTCCATCCATGCCTATGTTACACATTCTCACCCAGCGGCTAGCCTGTTGTTTTTGTGTTTTGTTTTTTAAAGAATTAACCTCATTCCCCTGCATATAATCCTCCACTGGTTTCCCATTACAACTAAACTAAGATCCCTATTTTTTGTGAAGGCCCGACAGGCACACGAGGTCTGAACCCACCGCATCCCTGCTGGCATCCCTCTCACCCTGCTGCTGCCATGCCCGTGTCTCTGTCCTGAGCCTGCACCAGCATATTCCCATGGGAGGAACTCTGCTCGGAAGCCTCTTCTCCCACATCCTCTCACAGCTCCCTCGCACTTTCAGGGCTGTGTACTTGTCACTTGAGAGCAGCAGTCTTTAACCACTTCTCGTAAACCTGCCCTTCTCCCATCCTTTACCTTCTTTCACTTTCTTTCAGCACCTCTCTACCTGAGGTTCTTTTATTATTCATGTGCTGTCTGCCCCTAGGTCCCTCCAGAATGTAAGGAGTTAAGGGTAGGGGCTTTGTCCTGTATACCACTGTCTGTCCTGCATCTGAAACAGTGCCCAAAAAAATCTGTTTCAGTGTACTCAAACCCAGTTAAGTTTCTCCCAGTTTTCCCAAGATTTCTTCTAATGCTTCTTTTGATTAGTCATCTTAGACCAGCATTACTTTCAGATCTCTTAGAGTAGTAGTTATTCCGAATTAAAGGCAGTCTACCAAGAACCACAAAAATCTCAAAGAGGAATTCTAACATCCAGTGAAAAACCAACAGTAACTTCAATTTGGTACAAGGACATTTAATGTTAAAGGACTTTACCTACAAAATGACTAGGTCATAAGACAAAGTATACCATCTGAATTCTAAAGAGCGGTACAATGCAGCAGTTTTTATCTGTGTCCCCAGAATAAAGCATGATAATGGGATTGTGTTCTGTTTTACTGTAAGAGACGCCCAATCATAAAGGGTAGGTAAATGAATGGTGCTCCAAGCATTCAATGGTACACTAAACAGTTATTAAAAGGCATGTGGTAGAGCTTTGTGCAGCTCCATGGAAATACATCCTGGAGTGCTTTCTCGGTGTCAAGCACAGTTCCAGGAGCTTTAGGTCATTATTTCTCTTTAAAACAAAAAGTTATAGAGCAGCAAAAATAAAGTTATCTCATTTTTGTGAAATAAACAAAATGTTATGTTTATATACGTATGAAAGGTTTAGGAAGAATAAACACTAAAATATTAATAAAAGTTCTGGATATTCTAAGTGAATGACTTTTTTGTATTTTCTAAACCTTTTACAGCAAACGCCTATTGTCATCAAAAAAAAAAGCAAAACAAAAGTGTTTAAAATAGCTACTGGAAAGAGGAAAGCTCTGTTGCTCAGGGGTTTTTCCACATCACATTGCCAATTCCTTCCCCACTCCTCAGGGTAAGGGGGAAGAAGGGGTCACTTGAGAGAGCATTTTTGGCCAGCAAATTAGTGAAGCCTGTAAGGTCAGAACATAAAAGGCTATGAAAAGTTGATGAATAGTAATAAGGCCGCATAATAGGATGTTAGTGTCTTATTTTGTGTTATTGATACTACCATCAGTTATTGTGGATATGCTGTTAGATAAAGGTAAGGTAGTGGAAAAATTCTTTTGAGTCTATATGAAATCTACACTAGGTTCTTAGGAATAGCTCTTTGAAATGGCTTGAAGAAATCATGTTCTTCTGAAATGTTTCAGAAAAAAAAGGCACATTATGTATGGATGATTTTGTCTAAGAAATGAACCAATTAAATTCTTCATTGTAGAAAAGCCAAAATGTTTTATATTTAAGTAGGTATTTCTTAGTTTCCAGGGAAACTGATATAAAACTGCCCGAAATAAAGACATTAAAAGCAAACTTTCAATGTGCCTGTACTTTTATTTGGTGTTCTGACCTTGTTTCTACGGAAGCCTAATAGGCAAATGCTGAAATTGAGGCTTCTCTTATCATTTTATTGAACGCCAAAGAAAATTAAGACAAACTGAAATGAAATTTTAAACTATCATGTTAAACACAAAAGGTAAGTTGTGTATTCATGAACTTTTTTTTTTTTTTTTTAACTTTTCTGGTTTAACACTCCTTATAGTCCTATGCTTAACACTGGGTACCTTACCTTATCAGCTTTTCCTAATGTTCCTCTGTCCAGGGCATTCTTGGCTTTAATTAGAGATCACCAGAACAAACTCTTTTAAACATATCAACCCATTTATCTGACTGGTTAATCTAGGCTATATCAAGACTTCTACTTTTAGTCTTATCTATTGTAATGATTAAAGACGTAGGAGGGAGAGGTAAAAGTTGCTTCCGAATTGTGAACAATAAACTTTGAATGGAAATAAATCAAAACAAGTGAGTGGAGATAGGCCTATCGTATGGATAAATAATAAAATACCAGATGCATTCTAAAGAGTTTCTTAGGCATCCCTGGAACTGAATTTGGCAATCTATCACCTCCATGTCAGTCTCTTCTGGTTCAGTAGCTGTGTTACACAGTCATTGCCCATCTTGGAGTCTCTCCTCCTTCATCAGCAACACAGGGAGAATACACACGGGCCTTATTTGTAGTTGGAAGGGCCAAATGAGACAGACATGAAGATGTGTTGCAAATCTTCAAAGAATTATAAAAAGGTCCAACTTTGGTCTCTCATCCAACACTACCCATCTATTAACTAGTTTGTCAAATCACTCAGAGGCTTACCTTACAGCACCAAGCAGAGCAGAAGTTTTCTCAAGTCCTTACATGCTTTGTGTTTAAAAGTACAATTAATTTATATAATTTGTTCATTCTTTTACAATACTTCAATATTCTAAAAAAAGCAGTACTTTGCAGTTACAAAGCCATGTCCATCATATGGGTAAATCCACAAGCTTAATTATTATAACTCAAAGAAATTAACAGCCCAACTAAAGTTTACTTAGAAAAAGAGCTACATTTCCTCTAGGACATGATGAAATTAGCTGGGGCACTTAAATGAAACAAATGGGCTAATGGGGCTTTAACATCTTTATGATACAATGTTTTCTACTTCAAAGGATGTAAGACTTCAATAAAGAGCCAGGCAGTTACTCAGAATTATCTTTACCTAGTTATCCCTTTCCAAAATTCCAGAGGCAAAAATCAAACATTTCCTCTTTTCTCTCCCCCTCCCCCAACAGTTAGTCAGAAGAACTTTTACCCCAACATTCTTAAAGTTGAACAAGATTCGACAGACAGGAGCTGGGGGGAAAGGAGAAGGAGATTAGGAGACAAACATTCTTGCGCAAGATCTGACACCTTTTTTTTAAAAAAAAGATTTTATTTGTTTATTTATTTGAGAGAGAGAGCGCACGCACAAGCAGGTGGAGGGGCAAAGGAAGAGGGAGAAACAGACTCACTGCTGAGCAGGGAGCCCCATAAGGGGCTTGATCCCAAGACTCTGGAATCATGACCTGAGCAGAAGGCAGGCACTTAACCAACGGAGCGACCCAGGCGCCCCAAGATGACACCTTAATTACCAAACCTTTATATTACAAATTAAGGTCTAAATTTATGGTTTTTTTTTTTTTTTCTCTTTGTAAACTTCTGACCAATAGTCTCATGAACCACCCCTCTTCTCATTTTTAGAACAGGCAACAAGTGAAGTCTGTTAAGTCACCGAGGTAGGGCTGAAGACATATTTGGGTCAAAGTGGGAATTTTAAAGTAATGAGAACTCCCTGGGTTCTCCGTTCGGTATAAAAACTATTGTCGCAGCCCTGGCAGTAACATTTCACACCGTTCCCAGTTATTTCAAGCCCCTTCCTCCCATCATTTTCTTTCCGTCTGTCTTCAAATTATAGTTAAGAGGAAGGCAGCTTCTATTGAGGCTGTTGAAAACAGCCTATTTAAGAACACCACATAGACTCTCACAGGCCCATCTCTAGTTTGAATTTAAATAACAAATCCTTAACAATACGTCTTAACTGTCCCGCGTATCAAGTACATTAACGGGTGGGAGGAAGGATACCATCAGGCTCTTACCTGGTTTCTTCGCTTTGGTAAGGATAGGGAGATGGGGTGGATACTCTGAAGTTGGGGTAATTACATTTTGGGGAGTGAATATACCAAAAAGTCTTTATAAAGTCCCCGGACACGTTAAGTAGACCGACAAACAGGAAGGGGTTGCGGACTGGAGGGTCTCAGGCCGGGCTGGGAAATGGGAATACGGGAAAGAACTGAGCGTTCGGGGCAGGGAAGAGGGAGAGCAACTGGCTGGACACGACGAGGAAAGAATAAGGGGTGGGGACGTCAAGCAGAGCCAGCCTTCATCCCCGGCGCCCAGCCCTGGGAAAGCCGGCTCCCGGCAGGAAGGAGCCCGAGGCGGCGGCTCCGTCCCGGGGGACCGCCCGAGAGCGGACAGCGCCGGCCCCCGAGAGGGACGAGAGGTGCCCGCCTCCTCCCTACCTTCAGGCATCTCCCGGTCGCTGATGTGCTGCAGGTGGTGGCCCTCACCCGCTCCGAAATCCAACTCGGCGGGCTCCACGGCAGCAGGCGCTGGCGCTACTGCCACCGCGTCCCCGGCCGCCGCCTCGTAGATCTCAGACTCGTAGTCGGGCTCCGCCGGCCCCGTACGCCGGCCCAGCTTGGGGCTGGCATTGGGGGACACGCAACAGGTCAACGTGTTCCCCATGGGGCGCCTCCACTCCTCGCCGCCTTCGCTCGCCCCTGACTCCGCCGCGCTCAGCAGCTACCCCCTCCCCCAACAATGGCGCGGTCGGCACCAGCAGCCCCGGGCTACGCCGGGGCTGCGCCGCGCATAGAGGCGCGGCCTCGCCCGCTGCCCGCCGGTCCGCCCCGCCGCCGGGCCCCGGGCAGGGCTCCGGCCCCGGCCGCACCCCCGCCGCCGCGCCGCCGCCGCCACCACCTCCCCCAAGCCAACTAGTCTGTGAGGGCGGCGACCAGCCCGGCTTATTTAAAAGGGGTGGGGACCCGACAAGCGCTGAGAGGCGCAGCCACTGCCGGGAGAGAGCGCGCTCGGAGCTCCTCCTCCTTCCGCCGCCACCTCCCGACTGAAGTCCGCTTGCCTGGCTGGCACCTGCCAACCGGAACGCATTCTGTGGTCACCTGGTTACAAGGGACCAATCGCGCCCAGAGTTCCCTCCACGCGCCCGCCTCGGAGCGGAGGCACGTGACTCATAATGCCCCGCCCCTGCCCCGCGGCTGCTCCGCCCTCCGCGCGGCGCGCCACGGACTCGGGTTTCCATTCATCTCGCGCAGCCGGGAGCTTTCCGGTTCTGCGGTAAGCGCAGCGGGCGTTTGTTACTCCAAGCCGTCCTGGATCGGTGGGCTTTATAGAAAGTCTTGTTAGTATAGAGCCGATTCTCTCAGCAACTCTGTTCCACCGTTTGACAGCTGACTCATTTTATGTATTGGTCACCGAACTTAGTTCCACCCGAATTGTTGACCGTTTTTGTAACTAAGTGCTCCTCCTCTCCTGCCTTCCAAGTTTTAGTTTTCGCCTTCAACGTGACCACAGCAACTCCCGGAGCCCTGGTCCTGCTCTCAATAAAGCGCTGTGGCTGTGTGTCTTGCATGAGACTCGAGGACAGGTTACCCTCCCTTTCGTTATCGGTAAAATAGGGACCGAACTCGTACCTCCCAGCCCAGAAACGCTGGGATTCACCAACTCGCTTTTCTCCCTTCTCTTTCTCCCTTCCACGACAGGAGTTTCCAGGTTTATCTTCTTTGTCCAACAACACATAAAGCACGATTTTCTCATACAAAGTTGAGAACCACAAAGTGGGGTGACACGGTCCTGATTTGATGATGATAATGATAGTTTAACGTTCGGCAAGCCCTTAAGTGTGTGCCCAACCCCATTCCAAGTGAGGTATTCATTTAACCCTCAAAAATAATCCTTTTACAGAAGAAATTGAGATGAAATAACATTCCTAAGGCCACGTGATTGCTCAGGTGTGGGGCCAGGATTTGATCCTAGATAGTGCAGATCACCACAGGCACCTCATCGTGATTACCAGAAAATAAAGATAGACGTAAAACTTGAGAGGAAGTGACATTTTACATCAGGATTTTTTTTTTGAAGGAAGGACAATTTTTTAATGTAGATTTTGAAATGTTTTCATTCAACATTCTCTCCCACATGCTAGGCACTGTACGCAGGAAACCCTCCTGCCCTCAGTGAGCTCACACAGATGACAAAACAAAGACTTAGTCCAACTGTCTGAGGTCAGACTGAGGGAAAGGGCTTGAGACTGAGATTCAAACCTAGACCTATCGGACCCCAAAGTAGATGCTGGGGAAAGAGGATGGATTTTATCCTGCAAACATGAGACAATTGAATAATATGTAGTCGAGGAGTCACTATCAGATTGTTTGTAGGGAGGTCACTTGCGACAGTCAAGACTGAAGGAAGCAACAAGACCAGTTCAGAGACTTTAAGTTCAGCTAGGAGAGAAGGCGGTGGCAGTGACTGAACTGGAGGGAAAGGACTTCAGATCTTTGGGGAGGTAGAATCAAAGGGCTTGATAACTCGATATGGAGGGAGAAGTGAAGGGGGAGGTAAAAATGGCTGCTAGGGTCCTGGCTTGGAGGATGGGGTAGACAACAGTGACTCTCTCCTAGACAGAATACAGGAAGAGGAACAGGCTTGAGGAGGAAGATAATTTTCGCCTGTTAAGTGGAAGACCCAAAAGGAGCTCTCTGGTGGAAAGTTGGATATATACCTCTTTTGATTAAGTCTGTTTTGTGATAGCCCAACATGTATTTTCAAAAATAACACACATATTAAACCAAAACAGAAAAAAAATGTAATTGGGGAAATTTCCTAAATTTGACATGCTAAGAATATAACATTTCTTAATGACTACTTTCGTAGAACAACTTGGAATCTACGGTTTTAGCAAATGAAGCATTTTATGTAAAATAAAACTTAAATGAAAAAACATGTAAAATTGTGTTGTCATTAGAATATATAGAATGTAATTTAAGCCATGGGTACAGAAATGATTGTCTTAAAAAGATGTGTGTAATTAAAAAGATTTAAAAAAAAAAAAAAAGACTGGAGAATACAGAGATTTAAGCCAGCATTTAAGTAAAGCCTGAAAAGGTGAGTGGTGAATTCAAAGGACCTGAGTGTTAATCAGGAATGGCTGATGGATCAGGTGAGTTCCGTGAGGGTGGGGGTCACATCTGCCTCTCATTACAGGGCGGCTTCTAGAACAGTGCCTGGCCAGTAGGCATGCAATAAGTAATTCCCTGAGGAGTCAAGGGTGGGGAAAGTTACAAATGCCATTGGCTCTGGCAACTGGGAGACTGAGGATGTGTGTGAGGCAGATGGCAGGTAGTGAATAAAGAAATGAATCGGAGGTGAGACGGAAGACCAGAACCGAGAGCTTCTCTTCCCAAACATCTGACTGAGAAGAGAGATGCAGTAGTAGTTAGAGGGAGCTGTATGATCAAGGATTTCTTTTTTAATATCCGCCCCCCAAAAAAGTGAGTCTATTTATATGTTAAAGGTAAGAGTCAATGGAGAAAAAAAGTTTGAAGTTACAGAAGATGAGAGAATTAAAAGAGCAAGGTCCCCAAGGAGGCAGAAGTGGATGTACTCCAGAGCCAGGATAGATTAGCTTTGGACTGATAGGAAAGCAAGGAAGAAGAAAGGACCTGTGTGGCCACACAGACATTGCTGATAAAGGAGAGGCTTAGGAAGTGCTCATCTGGTGACTCTATGTTCCTCTATTTTAATAAGCTTCTATTTGGAAAGCTCCTCTGGGAAAGAGAGGACAATGTGTAGAGAAGTCAGCACTTCATAAAAGCTCAATATACTTATTTACAAAATGTAAATATCTTCCCTCAAAGGTGGGTAAATTGAAGAGAGATTTGACCACGAATCAAGGAGCTCTAGTATAAACAGGTATGTCGCAAAAGTAGATGGGGCCATTATTCCCCCCAAAAAGTAAAAAGAAATTGCAACAACTCTGGGGTGCAAGTAAAAACAAAAGAAGAAAATGACATGTAATTGCAAAAAGTATGAACATTTACAAACCCTTTAACCACATAAGGTACCCAAAAAAGGACCAAAGGGAGGAATGTCCTCCTTTATTAGGATGGCAGAAAGAAAAGGTAACCTCAAAAATCAGAGAAGCAGGCATACCCAAAACTACTGTAACATCGTGTGTCAACTATACTCAAAAGAAAAAAAAAAGATAAAGATCTAAAATTCAGAGACGCAGGGATGATTAATGCTTAACTTAATTGTTTAAAAGATGTAAATAAGGTTTGGGGACAAAAATAGGCAATAAATTGAAATGTGGGAAACCACAGTAGAATGGTAAAAGGTTCAGTAAAGTTTAGGTTTCAGTGAATATCTTGTTAAATCCTCAGTGACTACATTCTATGATAATAATAATATTGTCTGAAGTTCTAGGAATGTCATGGGATGCCATTTTGTTTATTTTTTTAAAGATTTTACTTATTTATTTGAGAGAGAGAGAGCACAAGCAGGGGGAGGGGCAAAGGGAAAAGCAGACTCCCCACTGAGCAGGGAGCCAGACATAGGGCTTGATCCCAGGACCCCAGGATCATGACCTGAGCTGAAGGCAGACGCTTAGCCACCCAGGTGCCCCCCAAATTTATTTTAGCGAGAGAGCATGAGCACGTGGAAGGATGAGCAGAGAGAATCCCAAGCAGACTCTGCGCTGAGTGTGGAGCCCAATGCAAGCTCGATCCGACAATCCTGAGATTAGGACCCCTAGCCAAAACCAAGAGTCGGTCACTTAACCAACTGCGCCACCCAGAGACCCCTACAAATGCCATTTTGGATGATTCTTGTAGACTTGAGACGATGCCTAAGATTATGTTATAAAATAGTGCTTGCATTTAACAATAGACACACATCAAAATAGATATGTATGACTTTGAAAATTAAAGAATCTTAAATCTTGCTAAGAAAACATTGGAAAGCATTGTTATAAAAATAGATTTTAAAATATTTTGTTTGAAGAGGACATTGGAGAGCATTAAGAAAAATCTCTATCCTCCGATGACAGAACAAAGGGAAGCAAAGAGTAGTAATGTGATTTGAATTAAGCAGAGTTTGATTCTGTGATAGAACCTGAGACCTTGCATGTGCCTACTGATGGCTGAATATTCCCTGGGAGGAATTTTTTTTTTTTTAAGATTTTATTTATTTATTTGAGAGAGAGAGTGAGCACAAGCCGGAGGAGCAGCAGAGGGAGAGAGAGAAGCAGGCTCCCAGCTGAGCAGGGAGCCCCATGCAGGGCTGGTTCCCAGGACCCCGAGATCATGACCTGATCCCAAGGCAGACACTTAGCGACTGAGCCACCCAGGTGCCTCTTTAATTAGATTAATAATTGGTAGTTACATTTTTAGGGCCTTGTATTCTATTCTATTTGAGCCATATAATAGACTATAATTAATTTTCCTCTCCTGCCTCACTTTTTCTTCATTCCAGACATCAGGGTGGAGGAAAGGAATGGAGATTTTTAAGAAGATGCACATAGCATAGAACTTACATATCGTTGACTTAAAGCTTGATCATATGGCCACACGTAACTGCAAGAAGGGCTCAGAAAACGTAATCATATAGCTGAGTAACTAATGCTGAAGGGATAACTGGGTATTGGACATTAACTAGCACTCTATGCTAAAATCTGTAAGGAAAGATTAGAGAAGTTTCAGCTTAAAGCAAAAGGGATCATGGTAAAATTTCATATCCCTTTGCAAGCATATACAAAAACTTATACAGAGAGTTCTGTAATGACCTTTTCTTAAGCTAAGAGGACAGAAAAAAGTGGAGAGAGGCTTAAACTATAGAATAAAACTAGCTTAGATGCAAGAAAGATTTTATGGCAGTCAAGTGATTAGGAATATATATTATAGGTGTGTTGTGACTAATTCGATTCCATCTTGACTATAATGACTAGTCATAGAATAGGATTTTGTGTGTAGGTAATATGTACATTTTTTTCTGGGCAGAGAGTCTCCCCGACAAAATGCTAAGAATT